TTTCACACTTATAACCGTTGCAGCATCCCTGTGGTCACGTGATCAAAATTCAGATGCTTGGCAACTGGCATGTACTTACGACGGTTTGCAATGTGCTGGGGTCACGTGATCTCCTTTTGTGACCTTCCGACAAGCAAAGTCCACTTCACAACTGTGGCAAGCGAGGTCGTAAAGCTCACTTGACCAATGTCTCACTTAGTGACATAAACTTGGGCTCAATTGTGGTCATAATTTGAGGACTTCCTGTATTTTTTTTTCTGTCCAATCCACCCTGAAGATAAGAAAACTCTGGGGGTAGAGGTTTTGCCCTGACGTGCTATGTTTTCTAAATACAGTTACAGTATATACAGCGTATCAGTTAAGCGTTTCAGGATCTGAGATCCAGCCAAATATGGAAGCAGCTAGAGGATTACACTACTTAAAAAGATGAGAAATAAGAAGCTGAGCTGCTTTGTTTGTTCCATGAAGCCTCTCTGCTTGAGTTCCTGGAATTTCCTGGAGTCGTTTTTGTTTGCAAGGGGGAAAAAAAAAACCAACAGTCTCCAAATCTTGTTTGCCTGGCTGGAAGGGCTGTTGAGCAGACAGGGTGTGATCTGTAACAGGACTTCAGCAAAATAAACAGGAATAAACTTTTAAGGCAGTGATATGTCAGAAGTGAAGGCATTTTCATTTCTGAGTCAACAGTTTTGAACCGTGCAAATTTCCAAGCTGGGATACATTTCTGTGCCCTGTAACAATAGATTACAATAATGCTGTTGATGTTTGCTTGCAAGCTCGGTTTACAATTGCAAATATCCTTAAAAAAAAAAAATCTTGCACCAAGCAACTGCAAAACAAGATTTTCTGCTTTTTTGGGGGGGGGGGGCAGGCTTCTTTTACCGTGTCTGATTATGCATGCCGGGCTGTCAAACGAAGCCATGATTAGGACGAAGACTTCAGATGGGCTGAGTATCATGTATAATGAACTACACATGATGCCCATATTTAAGTTTGCAACTTTGCTTAAAACTCTCCATCTTGCTGGCTGACTGGCTCGGGCGAATGACAAGCTATCATTTTGCCAGTTGGTGGTATTCTGCCACAAATGACGGTTGCCTGAAAAAAGATAGTTTGTTTGCCGAGTCGAGATGTAGTTGGAAACATCGTAAACTTCCGGTTTTTAAAGCAAATCGCTGATTTGTTAAGCGGGAGGTGACTTTGTTCAGCCTGTTTGTGGAAATAACTCAGGTTATTGCTGCAGGGTTTTAATTTTGAAGAGGTCTTTGGTGGAAAATATGATGGGTTGGAAATGACAAAAATTAAAGCTTCCCATCTCTTCTTCCCCTGAATAGGAAAAAAAAAAATACATTTCCGACAGGTTCTATTGTGTCTTTAGGAGATCCGAACTTAAAGTGCAAATTTGGTATCCAGGTTGCTCCAGATCAGTGGTTCTCAACCTGTGGGTCGGGACCCCATTTGGGGTCGATCGACCATTTCACGGGGGTCGCCAAGCAAGGCTGTCCGCCATTTTTTTTGTCCGCCATTTTTTTCCCCTTTTCCAGCGGGTGCCTTACCTCCCTTGGGCTGGGCCAGCTGGTGGTCGGCCTGCTCCGTCTCTGCTGCTTGCCAGCTACACCTCGGCCGGCGCAGGGGGCAGAACCACGCATGCGTGGCGCTCCCGGGCAGGGAAAGTCCTCGACTTACGACCGGTTGGGTAGTCCTCGACTTACGACCGGTTTAGTCCTCGACTTACGACCGGTTTAGTCCTCGATTTACGACCGGTTGGGGTCGCGGCATTAAAAAGGTTGAGAACCACTGCTCCAGATGAACAAGATCCCTACTTGTTCCTTCTTCTGTGTGTGTGTGTGTGTTTAGCCCTGTCAATCCAGGAATTATAATCTTCTGTTTTTAGTTTCCCCCGCAGATGACAGCGTTGCCCAACGAACAGAAAGTGTTTGCGCTTTGGGAAGCTGGCGATGTTTACGATCAGGTAGGCAAGAAAAGAACTAAGATTGTCCTGGCAAAGATGCCCGTTCAAACTTGCACGTTAGAGTGTCTTCCAAGTAGGAATAGGATGCTCTCACCTACAGTAGTGGCCAAAATTGTGGAAGCCTTTTGGGAAAAGTGTACAGTAGAAATGCCACCTTTGGTTAAGTTTCCACCAATTGTTGTTCTAATTTCTTTATCACTGTAGCCTGGTTCACTTAATGACACTATTTTACATCGCTTTCTGGGCGACCAGTCAACTCTTTGCACCATGACTTTAATTTTATTACGTTTTACAAGCTCACTCAATGAAAGAACACCAAAAAAAAAACCCAACTAACTTGATAGTGATCCCATAACACACTGACAAATGTCGTCCTCTCAGCTTCAATACTGGACAGGACATCAATAACTGAATCCTACTGTGATCTGATTGGCTCATTGCCAAAACAAGATGTGCTGTTTTAAAAAGGGAGAAACAAAATACTGGCAAAAATTGGGAGAGCTATTGGGAACTTCAGAACAGGGACAGGCGTAGTACTGGCAGCCTGGTGTTTGCACAGCCACAATACAAGGTGTACAAACGTGAGGCTGTTCTATTTCTCTGGGATTCTGCTGCTTAAGCAGAAGCCCGATCACCCAAATTCAGGCTAAATTAACAAGTAAATTCAGCAAATGAAACCAACGGCGCTTTCTATGAACTCTGGTTTGATATTTCTCCCGCTTTACTTCATATTTTTCTTGCTGTTTCTCTCCTTTTCTCAAGCACCGGCAAATTTTGCTTGAAATCTTTTCCAAAAACTACCGTGTGCGTCGAAACGTCATCCAGAACCGACTGGCCCGGGAGTACGGCGAAGATCTAGACAAACAGGAGGTGGATAAAGTTTTGAAGGTAAAGTTTGACATGTGCTTAAAGCAGCGTCCACAATTGAAACCGGTTGGATCCTGTTCAACTATTGATTGGATTAAGTGGTGTGAAGTCATTGTGGACTCTTCAACCATCACATAGATCGGCCTTTCTGTTGTGGATGCAGAACTTAAATCTTTGTGAGGAGCTGTGTATATACCTGCACATCTACTTATCATTCTGAACGAGACAACAGGTGTGTGTGTGTGTGTTCAGGGAAAGTGATAGCCCAAGGAAAGTTCTCACAGGACACACTGCCTTTTAAGTCCACCCGTTCTCCTGATTCTCTTGCGTAACAGACTGCCAGTTTACCTGAAGGCGTTGGGAGCATTTAATTAAATTTTTCTATATTTGCTGGGTGAAGCAACTCAGAAGCTGCCCTGGGTTGCACTCCTAAAAAGCATCGGTGTTCCCAATCCTCTGGGTTGACCTAACTCACAAAGTTGTGGCATCGGCCTGCTAGTTTAGGGGTGGCCTGTGAGAATCAGCTCCTTGCTTCCCCAGTAGTTTTTCTCTCCACCGAACAATAGAAGAAAAGTGGAAAAAGAAGAGCAGGGAGAGATGGAAAGAGTACAGGTTGTCCTCACCTTAACAGCCGTTCACTTAGGGAACCGTTTGAAATTACAATGGCATTGAACCGTTGACTTAACGCCAGTCCTCACACTTATGACCGTTGCAGCATTCCCCCCCCCCATAATCTCGTGATCAGAATTCAGGACCTTGGCAACCTGGCACGTGGTTACAACGGTTGCAGTGACCTGGGATCACATGATCACCATTTGTGACCTTCCCAACTGGCTTCCGACAAGCAAAGTCAAGGTGTGTGTGTGTGTGTGCGTGCGTGCGTGCGTGCGTGCGAGACTGGCTTAATGAAGGGGTCTTCAAACTTGGTCCTTTTGTGGCTTGTGGACTTCAACTCCCAGAATTCCTCAGCCAGCATACCTGTGTGGTATTTATATGGTGCCTAGTTAGCTGTGTCTTTTTAGTTGTTGAATCTGGATTGTCCTTCCGATCTGTATGCTCTCTAGAACCAAAAGTCAGCGATTTAGGGAGGGTTTGAGAGACAGCAGAGCCCAGATGTTTGAAAAAAAACAACAGCAGGCATGTGTTCTCTGTTTGCTTTCATCTATAGACACTGTGTTAATTATTTAATAGCAATTAGCAACTTCCTTGCTTTTTTGGGGGGGGTGGGGGAGGAACCTGTCATTACGCTTCCATGCAGGTAGGGAACGAAAAGCACTGTGTTTTCAGATTTTTTTTTCCGGAGGTGGGAAATGAGATCACATCAAATCCCCTTGGAAATGTTTGAATGAGGCTTGTTTGCTGTCACTGAGGATCCCAGGCCTTGCTTTGATGGCACCATAATATTTTGTTTTGTATATTCCAGGGGTAGGCAAGCTTAGCTCTTTTATGACTCGTGGACTTCAACTCCCAGAACTCCTGAGCCAGCGTGGCTCAGCATGGAAACCTCTCCCTTTCCCCTCAGCATGGCTGGCTCAGGAATTCTGGGAGTTGAAGTCCACAAGTCACAAAAGGGCCAAGTTTGAAGACCCCTGTACTAGAACTAGATCAGATTTATCCCTGGCTGCATTTTGGAAGCCTCCTGAAGCCAGGACGTACCTTCCTTCAAGGTTGTGGGTTATCTAATTTGCAACAGAAACCGTGCATGAAATCTCTGTTATTTTTGAAAAACCATGAATGCTAGCTGGGTTCAACTCTTGTTTTCCCCACCCATGGCTTCTGTTGCTTCAGGGCAAGCTCGGTTGATTGCCAGCAGAACCTCTGACCACCTTCTTCCTTTTCCTGCAGGATTGTTGTGTAAGTCAAGGAGGCATGTGGTATCTCAAAGGGACAGTCCAGCAGCCAAGCTCTTGACGATGGGAGTCACTTTCATTGCATCCTTTTTCGATCCCAGGATGGGCAAAAAGAAACCAGAAGGGTAGGAAAGGAAAACAGCTTGATCCTTTCAAAGCCTTCCAGATGGAAGACCTACCAGAGGTGGCCCTGCTAGCTGCTTGCAACGGCATCCAAACCACTAATCTTGAACGGACAGCGGATCTGTATGTCCCCCTAGATTAAAATCTGGATCCCTAATATAAAATATATATATATTTCTCAATCTTACTAGAAGCAACCACGAAATGAACAATCCTTATGGGGGCTGAACTGTCAGCAGATCATGATCTAACGGTTCATTTTATAACGAAGGCCAATAAATTTCGAGTTTGCAGGAGGAGATCTGGATTTTATTTTTATCTTTACACGCTTGCAGACTCATCCTTGCCCCGTCTCTGAGGTTTCTTTGTGTAACTGTGGCCACCTGTCGGAGGGCAGGGCATAGATTGACTGGGTTCCAAGTTACATAAAATTGCGGGATCCCAACCAAAAACTGCTAACTCGTTTAAAGTTTCCCGTTTCCTTTTCAAAGGATGGCTTTGTTCAGATTTAACAATGCAAGCCAGGTCTTCATTGCGGCTAAACCCGCTTGTATATTTTCCCAGTTTTTATTCTGTAACGAAGCAGGTGGAATTCTCGCTTTGCACAGGTTGGGCAAAAAGATACTTCGAGGAAGCTGGCATAGGGACCGAAAATGTTGGCATATCATCTGTCAGGAAACAAGTAATCAGACACCCCCACACACCCCTTAACCCATTTTGCAGGTTGAAATGGAACACGGGTGCTGTGTATCTTGAAGAACATGGAAGACAAATGGAAACCATAGGTAGTTCCAGGTATACGTCCTGCAATTATGGCTGTAAGTTGCAATAATCATGAGACAGGTGTTTTTATGGCCTCTTTTTTGCAGTGGTGGTTAAAGAAACCCCACAGTTGTTAACCTTGTTAACCAAACCCACTGTTTGCTATGGGACGTTTGCTGGAAATATCACAAGCTGCAGTCGTGTGACTGCAGGGGCCCCAGATGTCAGAACTTAAAAGTCCAAGTCCTAACTTCAAACAGTTGCTAAATGAGTGGTCGTTAAGTCGAGGACTACCTGTATGGAAGTCTTTTAAAAACTTGAGTTTTAAATGGGTCTTTTTGCAACACGATCCACATATTTTCAAACTAGAACATGTGGCCATTGGACACAATAAACATCTAGGTAGCCCATTTGCATAGGAAGGACACATTAATTTGTGTTACGTAGGCATGGATGTAATCAGTTCCTGCCCTTTTGGGGGGCATCAGCTTTAAAACCAAAACCTCATTCTGGCTTTTTAATTTGATTTATAGCCCGTGGTGATCAACCTGTGAATCAAACACCTCTTTGGGTAACTTTAGAAGGTGTGAAATTGTTAATAGTTGCCATAATTCATCCAAAACAAACTTACAGTCCTGGGAAATCCTTAACAACTCCCTCCCCCCAGAGAAACTGCCCCATCTTTCAACTCCAAAGTTCTACTGAAACAGTCAAGACTTAATAGCGTCATGGAACACCATAAGAACGGAGAACATTCCAATCTCCAGGGACATCTTACTGCAAGGAAGGGGCCACACTAAAAGATCCACTTCCAAAATCCCACTGATGCTCTGACTTCATGAAGCTCAAAGCCCAATCTTGAATTCCATCAGATGGATGGAGGTGGTCCCAAACCATGAAGGGCCTTCAAGAAAGGAACTTCAAGAAGACAACATCAGAAGTCAGCTAGTATTCCATGAGTTCATTCAACCAGTATCTATAACTACTTGAACCTCGGTGTTCTGGGGTCAGCTGCAATTTCCAGATATACTTCAAGAGGACACCCCACCCCCCCAATGAAGGACACTGCAGAAGTCCAAATGAGACAGGTGTAACTATGAGCAGGGCCTCCCAACCCAGGAAAAGTAAGTGATGCACCATCTCTTTCAGCAGGAGTTGTGAATACAGAAGGACACCCTCTCTTTAATATACCACACGCCTATAGTCATCAACAAGATTGCTACACTTCTACTGCACCCTTCCCTTTGGCTGAAGTCGGAAGCACATAAAATGCACAAACTTAATTGCAGAAAGGATTTATTTGCTCTTTGCTAAACACCGACAAGACCAAAACAACTGGTAAATGGAAATACACCATGTGGCAGAGTGAGTTTCCACCTGGAACCTCTTAATCAAAGTCGTACAAGCCACCCTCAGTAGGTAAGGCAGATGCGTTTGTAACAGCAGCCAAGAGTTTAAAACTGCAGTTGTGGGTTTGTTTTTTCTTTCAGGCAGCTCAAGTTTTTTTTCCAATTAGGAATGCAATATGAAACGGATCCCTTTTGTTTGGGGAAAAACAAGTCACCTTTTGTAATGCTGGTTCGCAGCTTACCTATTCCTATATATTTTGAGAGAACTATTGAACTTTGTACTCTAATTTTTCTTAAAAACTCAACTAAGGTTTAAGGAGCTTTAAATGCTCAGCTGACGTTCCCGGGAGTTTCTTCTAACAAAAAAATAGCAAATGCTTGCTTTAAAACACTCAAGAGTTATTGGACTTTGCAATAGACGCGAGTTTCTGCAGGAGGTTTAAAAGGGTGAAATATTATCACAGCCTAATTTGGCCCTTTCTACACCTAGCATAATTGCTGGTATGATAATAGGTGACTTCGTGGCTTAAGCTGATGCAGGGCCTTATCAATCTGGCCTCCAGTTGACTTGTGGGGTAGACCATTTTCAGAAAATCAAATCCTTGAAGACACGTTGGAAGGTTTTAAGTTAAAGTGAAATTGGGGGCTCTTGCTTTTAATTTTGCTCTATGCTAATCAGTTTACTTTTTATAGGGAGGCTGTTTTGTAATATTCAGTCTTCCAATGAAGCAGAAGGTTGATGCAGTGGCACCAGGAGTTTGATTAGCCAAGTTATACACACCCCTACATTTCTCCAATCCTTGAATTCAGTTTTTTGCTCGTTTAAATGAGAGGCCACGCTGGATTTCAAAATAAGACAACGGCAGCCCAAGCCTATCAAATAGTAACAGATCTGTCAAGATTCCCTGGCTTAGGGAACATCAGAGTGCACCATGTTTTAACGGCTTGCTTGCAGTTATATATATATGACAATGGCACACTAGCAAAAATCATCTATATTTTGGTTTATTCCAACCCAGGTTAAGCTCAGGAGAGCTGTCATTCTATGATAACAATCTTCTCTGTGGTTCTTGTTTCTACAACGCATCAAACTTTTTCAACAGAACGAGGACGGTTAATAAGAGTTGTGCAATCAAATTAATTTGCAAAGTGGTTGCCAGGGACTCGCCCTCCAGGGGGAAACTTGGTTCAGGGCGAGATGGAATCAACCGGATTCCGACTCTGTAGACCGAATCAAATGGATCCAACCCATTTTACAGAAAATCTGCCGACCGTGAGCCAAGTTGCATTCCCTAAGGAATATTAGAAGGGTTGGTTGCATCATGAAAAAAAAAATATTTTTCAACCCCCACCATCGTACCCATACTTTTTAAGGACATTGAGAAGAGAAAGGCTTATATTTTGCCCGATGTTCATCAATTTCCTTTCTAGTTTCCTCAATGCGATTAAAGATTTCCTTGAAGAGAAGTTTATATTCAGGGGAAGCATTGGAAGAAAAGTTGGCTGAATCGGCAGTCGGGGAACCGGGCTCCCTAAGACCCTCCTCCAGGGGTACTCTCCCACCATGGACATCCTTGGGACGCTGTTTTGAGGTCTGCACAGCCTTGTGGTCCAGCAGTTCTTTGTCCGTTTGACACTTCTGCAGCAGCTCTTCGTACTTGACCTTCAAAGCGTTGTATTGGGCGTCAACCTCGTTGAGTAGGGAAACACCCCGTTGCTTCACGGCTTCCGCCCTCCTGATGCAGGTCTCTTCGTGGCCTTTGAAGAGGTCCTCGCCTGCCGTGCCGCCGCTGAGCCAGCCCTCGCTGCTGCTTCTTTTGAGGGACCGTTTCTCAAGTTCAGGAAGGATGAAGGACATCCCGTCCCAAGGACCTTGGCTGAGTTCTCTTTCTAAGGGGTCTTTGAGAGAAACGAAAAAAGACTCCGGGGGCAGTTGCTCCATCCCGTTCGGACAAGGGTTCCCAGAATGAAAGAGCTGCTTCATTTCAGCCACTTCTATCTCCAGTTCCTCCACTCTGGCCTGGTATAGATGGTTGTCCACCAGCCGTTGCTCCAGATCCGTGTTTTCCTTCAGCAGAAAACTGTACTCTTCCTCCATAGAAAACCTTTTTTCCTTCTCCAAGTTGAGTTGAGTTTGTAAGAGAGTTACGGCCTTCTTCAAATTCTGGTTTTCCTCTTCGGCGGGACTTAGTTGACTATCCATTGATATAATCTTTTCGGCAAATATATGGTCATAGACGAAATATCTAGGGGTACACAGAAAGAGAGAAGAAATATGCTTAGTGTGTGTTGTCCAATCAATCCTGTTTCCCATTGCATATCAAAACACCAGTCATATGGATGCATCACATCTGGAAGAAACTGCCCCAAAGTTTAAGACTTGGGTGTCTTTGTCTAGAACAGGCGTAGGCAACCTTGGCTCTTTTATGACTCGTGGACTTCAACTCCCAGAATTCCTGAGCCAGCGTGGGGAACTTTGGCCCCCTTCATGACTCGTGGACTTCAACTCCCAGAATTCCTGAGCCAGCATGGCTCAGCTTGGAAACCTCTCCCTTTCCCCTCAGCATGGCTGGCTCAGGAATTCTGGGAGTTGAAGTCCACGAGTCATAAAAGAGCCAAGGTTGCCTACCCCTGCTCTAGAATATTCGTTAAGCATGTTAAACATCAGTTTTCAATCCAAGCATGCTATGGCTTCCTTGTATGAAAAGAAACCATTGGGAATTTTTGGCTGAAAGATACCACGTGAGATCAATATTAATTTTCAATATTCTCCTCCACATTGTTGATTGGTGAGTTTGCTACTTACTTGCGGAGATCATACAGTTCTTTCAGGCATGGAAAACTCTGGACCGATTTCGGCTGCTCAGGTCTTTCGTAATTTACATGGCTTTGCCCGGAGGTCTTCAACTCTTCCACCTGCCTCTGCAGTTCATCAATGTGAGTCTGGAGGTTATCAATGGTTTCCGTGAGGCTAAAAGGAAGTTTAGAAAGCACATGAAGCAGCATGGACAGAGCTGTCAAACTCCCTTCAGGTATCTGAGATGGTTGCACTTGCTCAAAGTGTAGAATTTGATGTTCTGACTCTCCCACAACCACCAGCTAACAAAAGGTCCTGTGAACATCACATCTGATGGATCTGATAAAGTCGTCATTGCATTGCTCTCCAATTAGTTTTTTGCCATGCATCTGATGAAATAGCCCAGTGTTTCTCAACCTTGACAATTTTAAGGCATGTGGACTTCAATTCCCAGAATTCCACAGCCAGCATTGCTGGCTGTGGAATTCTGGGAGTTGAAGTCCACATGCCTTAAAATTGTCAAGGTTGAGAAACACTGAAATAGCCACAGCTCACGAAAACTCAGGCCTTCTATAACACAATTTCTTAGTCAGAAAAAGGGCCTCCAGGTTTCTCCAAGGTTTTTTTTTGGGGGGGGGAGGGAGAAAAGGAGCTTCATGGGGGGGGGGAGCAAGCAAGCAAGCCTACAATCCATTCCATCACTCAACCTCCTGCTTAGATAATCCTCTTGATAAAACTGGACAAGGTCCGCGATGAGCCCATTCATAATAACCTGGCAGATAAAGGGACGTTATACCAGCCAACTTAATTACCTTCCTATCTTTTGCTGGGAGGCTCTGCTGTCAGAAATCAGTTTTTGATTGGCATCTTCTAGATCTCGAGCCGTGATGTCCAGCTGTTCGTAGACCTTGGCGTGCTGATCGTTCATTTGACGGAGGAGGTCCACCTGCTTGGTGAGATACTGCAAAATGAAAACAGATAACACGTGTTAAACCAGCAGCTCCAGAGGGACTTTCCAATACGGAGAATTGCCTAATTTTAAGACTCGGGATATGCTCTGGGAAAATGCATACTGAAGGAGGAGAAATTAAGGTCAGGATCCAAAATGAAGGCATCACGAATCCATCATCAAGGAGGTTTGGAGGTGTTCGCCCCGACTGTTTCCTTCTCCCCTTTTCCACTGCATGTAAATCTTTTTAGAAATGAGATGGTTTGAACTTGCTGGTCAAAGATCCTTGGGACACACCAGTTGCTTCTTAAGCCCAGACTGGACAATGTATAGTCATTGCTAAATTCAATCGTAGATGACCCAATTAATATGAGCGGCAGTCAACAATATTTGGACAGCATTTCTAGTGTTCGCTTTCCAAAACAATTCTAGTGTTTATTTCCCCAATAACTGCTGATGTATCCCAAGATGTGATCTTAAAGAAATGTTTGTAAATCATAAAGATATTTATCTCATTTATGTGATAAATATATCATCACGCCGTTGGTTATCGCTAAAGTATTGCCTCAACTCTTGGAAAAATGAGTTATTCAGGGACACTCTCTCTTACCTTCTCCAAATATTCTCGCTTGATTGAAAGCTATTTGAAATACTTAGCAGGATTCCTCTTAATTCCCCAAATCCTTCTTTTCCAACTGGTTAAAAACAGCTTCGAAAGAAGCTTGAGCTGAAATCCGCTGAGGTAAGAATGTTAATCGTTCTGTTTTAAAGCTGCTTGACTGCGGGGGCGTTTTAGTACCAAACTATGAATTTCTATTTGTTTCTCCTGCTGAAAACATCACTACCCTTCAGTCTGTGTCATTAGTATGTGGTGTTGTTTTATTAGCAAGAAAAGTTTCAATTGCCAAAGAGGTGATGGAAACAAGGCATTAAAATCTACAGCTTTTTCAACAACCTACACGGCTTTCAGTCAACACCCCAAGCTGAAAGTAAACCACACGGTAACTCAAATGCAACGTGTTGACTCAGCTCCTGATGTTCTCCACTTTAAGAATCTTGGTGCAAAACGTGGTTCGTTGGCCTGCCTCTCCAAACCTCTACATCAGAGCAGAAAAAAAGGAAGGCTGAAGGGGTATATAATTCAATATTGTAGTCACCTCTATTTCCTGCAGTTGCTCCTGGTTGGTGGAGTACATCTGTTGCAGAGAGGATTCTAATTCCGTGTTTCGGTCCAAAAGGGTCTTCCCCAGTTCAGCAGCCAGATGAAGATCTATAAACAAATTGTGGGTATAACTTTATTTAATGCACCACCTTGTTTTAATGCCCTGTACAGGCATTAAAAATAATCAAGTAGCATATAAAGGTTTGCTTCATTCATGGAGATTAATGGCCCACTTTAGAATCTTTAGAAACCAAAATTGCTTTATTATCTAAAGCTTAATCTATGCTTCTTACTTTGCCCTTCAGCGCCTCAATGAAATGTTAAAAGGTGCAGAGTTAGTGAAGTCCTTTTCAGGGAAGATTTTGAAAACAGATGCATCTATTTTTTACCCATTTCTTTTGTATTCAATTAACCAAACTACAACGAATTAACAGCCACAAAGGAAGGAAACGAACAAGATCACATTTTACTGCATGGCCCTTAAAACGCACGGTTTCAAAACACTGCTTTTGTTCCTTGCCTCAATGTTTGGTGTTAATGCTGGCTTGGTCCCAGAGAATGCAAGTTATTTTTAAACAGGCCAACTTTGCTGGTATTAAGTTGGTACAAGTTTCATCATGCAAAGAACTGGCAGATTGCAAAAAGGGTGCTAAGTATCTAAGACGTAAGGAGCTTAAAACCTTTCCCATTAACTGTGTAGCATACAGAAGAGCTTATTTCACTTGACCTGTGGTGAAATTCATTCAAAAGGTTGTCATGTTGACAAATAGTACAACAGAATGACAATCTCTTGGAGAAACTAAACACACCGCAGAACGTCTGTAACACCTGTACACATCCTTTGTGCTTAATTTTAAGCTCTCCATTTGCTCTGTTTGGGTTAAAACTTTTGCATTTGAAGTTAAGATGTTTTAGAAAAAAGCTCACTGGTGCTACAAAAACTGCTACAACTTTTGACAATTTGAAATAGAAAAAAAAATACATGTTGACTGGAAATCAAACATAAGGGACATCAAACCTTAAAATGTACCGATCCATTGTAATTTCTCTATTTCTGTCATGGTTCCGCTGCTAACATCGGATGTTTTTGCTTTGACAATTACACTGATCAGTGTAAAAAATGCTAGGAATTAAGTTTGGGCTTCCTAAAATGTTCGGAGACCCCAAACTGCTTCTGCCTAGGACAATTTCTCTTCTTCTGGTGACTACAAGCTATGTTTCTTGATCTCAGAAGTACTGTGAAACTATCCTTGACGCTTTTTTGCAAAACCTTCCGTCTAGAATTTGGTGTAATCTTTTCCAACAATCGGCAGAATTGTCAGGAATACAGATGGTGACGTTAGTCCAGGCTTAATAGTTCAAAGTTCATTACTTGCGTATCTATAACTTCCACGCTATTATATTCTACTGTCTCTACCCAGCAACAATCAAAGTCTACAAGCTGCAAGGCATCGTTTTCTTGCATCAAACGATCCGAGTAAGGACAGGTAGATTTCAAATGTGTTCAGTGGCCCGATTTTACGACCTCGCTTGCCACAATTGTGAAGTGACTCGCTGCAGTTGCTCAATTAGTAACACGGTTGTTAAATGAAACTGTGGCTTCCCCGTGGTTTTTGCTTGTCAGAAGGTCGCAAAAGGAGATCACGTGACCCTGGGACCCTGCAAACCGTCATAAATACAGTACGAGCCAGTTGCCAACGTCTGAATTTCAATCATGTGACCAGGAGGATGCTTCAATCAGAAATAAACCGTTTGGCAGTGGTTTGCAATAGCTTGGAAACCATAACTATAGGGTGATGGTTTGGAAAATTAATCATAAGTGCCAGAGTGCAACCTTAAACAGCATTAACAGTCTGGAACAATTAGGCCAAAGTTCAGAGTACCGTACAGTAAAAGAAATCAGGTTTGCAATGTTAAGTGTTGTGAAGGAAACAGTGTGCACGATTATTGATAAATTTCTACCTGTCAGATAATATAATCTTCTAGCTGAATATGCAATTTGGATGTTGCAACCCATGCAATATTTCTAACTGGCCATCTTAAGCAACACAATAGTCCCACAATTATTGTGAATTTGTTTTTTTAAAAAATATGAAAATATGCCTTTTCCAGACCTGAAACTGACTTGAAACGGCAGGATGTGACAACAGCTGCATTTTCATTGCATCCAAAGCCAAGAAATCAGGGCTGGGACTCATAATTTAAAAACCCAGTGCCATGCAACAATTTAGAGAATAAAAACCTTGGATTAAATGAATCTATGTCTCAGATGTTGCATCATCAATCAAGAGAGCCAGGAAAAGGGAAAAGTTTGAGCCCTATTTGAAGAAAGTCCTTTATATAAAGCATTTCATGAACAATGTATTATCTCAAATTAAAGCTATGCCTTTTAAATGACGGGCTGTTGTCAAAAGTGAAGGAGAGATGTTTTCAGATCAGCTATACACCTTTGAAGGACAGGTAAGAATATTTCCCTTCAATAATATTTCAATATTTTTCCAGCATCCAAAAGCAGACAGACATCGGATAATACAGAAAGGCGAAATATAATTTGTTTTTGGTCCTTAAACAGAACTAAATACGGAGCAGAGTCACCAGTATTGTACAAAAAGCACTTACCGTACTTTCTTTATCTGCACCACAACTTTATCTGTGAAGTCTCTGGACTTCACACCCAATTCCTGTCTCTCCTCTATACTGTATGTACCATCAGAGTAACTATGGCACACCCAAACACAATCGTTTGAAAAGCTGTAAATTCTACAATAAATTCTCCCCCTCCATCCTATGGAACATGAGATAACCCTAATTGTAAATTTAAAAACAGTAATATAAGACATGTCTATGGAGATTCTCAATCATCCAGGTCATGGTTGAAGAACTGAACTAAAGAAACTTCTTGGATGAGAAATGTTTCAAGGGAAAAAAAGTACCCAAGAAAATCCAGTAATAAGAGATCTTTATTTATTTATTGCATTGCTTATTTGCCATTTAACCTAAAATCGGATACTCTACCCGCCCCTAACTCAAAGCAAGCTCTCTTTGCATACCTGTGCTAAATTGTGGGAATATCCCATAGAGCTAAACGTCCACTGATCTGTGGCTTTCCAGAAGCCTTATCCTTCTTTTGGAAACTGTCTTTTGTAGGGTTTAGCTCTATTACTCCCAAGCAAGGATTAGTATTCTGGTTGAATTATGGATTTAGTTCCCAAATTAAACACGGCAAGGACTCAGGCTTAGCTATCTTTAATTGCATTTAAAAGTCTTTCCTTAAGCTTTCAAAGAACCTATTTTCAAGGGCAGCGTTTTTCAACCTCAGCAACTTTTTAGAGGGTTGGAATTTTACTTCTCGAATTCCTCAGCCAGCATACTGGCTGGGAAAATTTTGGGAGTTTGATGTCTACACATTTTAAGGTTGCTGAGGTTTAAGGTCTTCTGCCCAGGTTATTTATTCTTTGTAAAGCCCACTTCTTTTCCTAAAGCGCTTTCTATTCTTCCCTAGCCTACCTTCCCGTTTCTTCCTCCTTTTCCACCAAGCATCCATCCATCATTTCTCCCGTAAAGAGGCTTCACAGCTATTATCCCTCCTCTATTCATTGTCCTCCTCCCAGCGCTCTCACTTTTGGGCTCCCTCCCTGCCATTCTCCTTTCAACTCCCGTCAGCTCTTTCAGGATTCGCCTTTCCCCCTTTATCCACGGTGAAATGCCTTTTTATAAGGCAGAGGTGCCATTTGATTCTCCGTGGGCTGTTATTATGAATGGAATAATAGAGTAGGGGATGGGATGAAGGAACAAAGCGGGGCAGGACAGATGCGGGTGGAAGGAAGGAAGGAAGGAAGGAAGGAAGGAAGGAAGGAAGGAAGGAAGGAAGGAGAGAGAAAGGGAGGGGGAAGGAAAGAGAAAGGGAGGGAGGGGACTGATGAAGGGAAGAAAGGAAGGAGAAGGGAGAAGAAAACGGATAAGGTTAATGGATGGAAGGAAGGGCAGAAGGGAGAAGAGTGGTAAAGGAAGGAAGGAAGGAAGGAAGGAAGGAAGGAAGGAGAAAGGGAGGGGGAAGGAAGGAGAAAGGGAGGGAGGGGACTGATGAAGAGAAGAAAGGAAGGAGAAGGGAGAAGAAAACGGATAAGGTTAATGGATGGAAGAAAGGGCAGAAGGGAGAAGAGTGGTGAAGGAAGGAAGGAAGGAAGGAAGGAAGGAAGGAAGGAAGGGTCTTGCTGGGGATGATGGAATTCCTTTCAGCAGAAAGGAGGGGAGGATGCTAGCACAGGTGAGCAGGAAGAATTAGACAAAGCCAATCTCCTAAGGAAGGAGGGAGGAGTGGAAGCGGGTGCGAAACACCCCCCCCCATTAAAGAGGCAGTTAAGAGGTCACCTCTGCCAGCCCTAACCCGGCATGCTGCAGCTTCCCAATCCCACCCAGCTGGGGAGGATGGGGACCGGAGTAGAGGGAAGGCAGGGAACTCTCTACAGCTGGAAGCCACCCCACCCACCCGCCCACCCTCCCTGCCCCTCCCCTGTGGATTAGCCAGGAAGTGATGGGAGTGGGGTCCCTTGGCTGGTGGAGCTCACTGGGATGATGGGGAGCCTTCCATGCGGGATAACAGGGATAATAGAGTTCCACCCTACACCTCTTTCCCCCCCCCCCAAGACTAGAGGATGGTGGCTAAAAGGTAGAGTTGCGTTGGCTGGGGATAATAGGGAGTGTAGTCTGAATGGGAAGGGGGAGGATAATAGGCACTGGCGTTCCAAACCCTCCGCTCCAGCAGATGGTGGGGTTGGGTTAGTTGGGGACAATAGGAACTGGAGTCCAGGAGAGGAGAGGAGAGAAGTAGGAGGATAATAGGCACTGGAGTCCCCCCCCCACCAGCCAAAGAGAACGCTGGCTGGAAGATGGGACTGCGTCGGTTGGGGATAATGGGGCCTTGATCTCAGCGAGGATAGGAGATGGAAAGAGGGAGGATGATAGGCGCTGGAGTTCCCCCCCCCCCCCAGCCAAAGAGAACGCTGGCTAGAAGGTTGGGGATAATGGTGAGTGTAGTCCAGGGCTTGAACTCAGCGAGGAGAGGATGGGAAGGCGGAGGATAATAGGCGCTGGAGTCCCCCCCACCACCAGCAGCCAAAGAGAACGCTGTCTGAAAGACGGGACTGCGTCGGTTGGGGATAATGGGGAGTGTAGTCCAGACCTTGATCTCAGCGAGGACAGGAGATGGGAAGGGGGAGGATAATAGGCTCTGGAGTCCGCCCCCCCATCCCACCAGCCAAAGAGAACGCTGGCCAGAAGGCGGGGCTGCGCCGGCTGGGGATGATGGGGAGTGTAGTCCGAAGTCTCGGGCTCAGCGGGGCTGGCTCACCTTGCTGCAGGTCCTGCTGGTCGTACCACGGCTCATCCTCGCGGATCTCGAACTCCTCCACCAGACTGTCGGTGAGCATCGCGCCGCCGCCGCCGCTGCCGCCACTCACCGTCCCTGCGGGCGCCGGGCTGCGCGCCGCCTTTAAAGCCGCCCCCGAGCGCCTCCGAGCGCCTCCGGACTCTCCCGAGCGCCGCGCCCCGCCCCTCCCGGAGGGCTCGGGGGGCGTGTCCACGAGGGCGAGCGAGGCAACGTGGCAAGGACGCCGGCCGCGATTCAAAAGCAAGGAACCCACGCCGGCAGCAGCCAGTAGCGCGCCTCCTCCGCCGGGCGCCCGACCAATGGCGAGCTTAGGGCTCCCGCGCGGGCCAATGGCAACCGATCCGCGGGGAGAGGGGGGGCGAAAACAAGACCCGCCCTCCGAGCTTTTTTCTGCGCTGCCCGAGGCCGGAGTGCGGGTCAGTGCGGCGTCGCCTGGAGGCGGGGAGGGGGCGGGCGCCGTTGCTAGGCGTCGCGAGGGGGCGGTTGCTAAGGGGAGCGCATGGCGGGGCCTTCGGCGGGTCCGGTCGCCTTGAAGGAAGTTGCGGAGGGGACACGGGCAGGGCGGCCGTGGGAATGGTGACGGGAGAGGGCAGGAAGTAGGTGGGCTGACCGGGGGGGGCGGGAATTAGACCCCCCGTTATAAAGCAGGGGGACGGCAGCAAACGGGGGCACAAAAGGAAAAGGTCCTGCTGACCATGATTACTGTGATATATTGGGCAACCCTTTATCTGAAATGGTAATAGGGTCTCCTGCTTGAGCAGGGGGTTGGACTAGATGATCTCTGAGGTCCCTTCCACCTCTCTTATTCTATGATTCTGTAAGGATCTCCTGCTTAAGCAGGGGGGTGGACTACAAGACCTCTGAGGTCCCTCCCACCTCTGTTATTCTATCATTCTGTAAAGGTCTCCTGCTTGAGCAGAGGGGTGGACTAGAAGACCTTTGAGGTCCCTTCCAACTCGCTTCCGTTTCTGTTCTGAATCCCGCCTGGCACTGCAGGGTCTGGTAAATGCAGAATTCCACCTTTCACAGCGCTCCTCCGTTTATGACCCGCAACAGAGCCCAAAATTTCCTTTGCTAAGCGAGACAGTTCTTACGTGGGTTTTGCCCCATGTTATGACCTTTCCTGCCACAGTTGTTAAGTGAACCACTGCAGTTAAGATAGTAAGACGGTTGTTAAGTGAATCGGGCTTCCCCCATTGACTTTGCTGGTCAGGAGGTCGCCAAAGGGGATCACACAATCCCAGGGATACCGCAACTGTCATAAATATGAGGCAGTTGCCAAACGTCTGAATTTTGATCACATGACCCAGGGGATGCTGCAACGGTTGTAAGAGTGAAAAATGACCATAAATCGCTTATTTCAGTGCTCTGTAATATTGAGCATCCACTAAATCAATGGCTGCAAGTCAAAAACACCTATAATAGCTATTTTAATAACCAGATTCTGGCTTTTTGGCCATTCTGCTGTGGCTTCCTTTTCACAGCATATCTGAAGAGCACCAGGAACTTTTCACTCAGAAATGGTTTTCTGGCTAAAACTCTCATTTGCCCCATCAGTCTTTCTCAGGGTGTCCCCACGACCCTCTCTGGGCTTTATGGAATCATAGTCATTTGCCAGCCTAGGTTGAAAAGTCATACTATATTAAAATCCCATCTAACAATCCTCAGAAACTGTAGTAGCAGCAGCCGCGTCGAGTTTAATTTTTAATATAGTAAATATTGATATAAACCATACCAACCAATGCTTTCTTGGGGCCCTTCGTAATTTTTAAAAATGGCCAAGAGTTCTGAAAAAATTACAGGGTGCTTCAATATCTTTTGAAATCGGCTGTCGTCCACCCAAGTTTTTCAAGTCATAAATATTTAAGGCTTTTAAAAGTGTGTATGAGCAATGACAAACATCTCCAGATGGAGTCTAATCAATATTTTAAAAACATGGGTTGTCCCTGTTTGCTGGTTAGAGCAAGAAACCACAATCGTCTTGTGTTAGCATTTTGGAGACGGGAGAATTATTTATTTTATGCTATATGCAAAGACCCAAACTTGCTTCCTTATCCACTCTTTAAATAGGGGGCTGTTTGGTGCCCTTTTACAGCAATAAAGGGGCATTTGTTTTTGAAAACGTGAAGCGTTGGTCCTGTAGAAATCTTGCATTGATTGGACAAGGCACTAAGAATATATCCATGAGAATATATGAGCAAGAAAACGTGCCATATAACTAGATTTTATTGTGCTATGAGCCAAGATGTGGGATTGGACCAGGGATGGGAGGTGGGCCTTACAGGCAGACAGCAACCCCTATTCTCTGTGTTACATGCCATTCATTCTTATTCTTACCCCAGGCATTAATTGCATCAATCTTGGGATTGTTTTGAAATAAATATTAATAAGGGACAGTGCTCCTCTCTCCGATTAACCGATTTTAGCTTGCTTTTGTAACATATTGTACAAGTAGGTGGATTAAATATCTCCTTTTACATGTGTTTTTAAAAATTTGTAGCTCTGTTTAATTGTAGTTTTTTTATTTTTGGTTTATTAAAATTTGATTATTTTTTTAAATGTAGGTGAAAGGGAGGGGCAGGCTCTTTTGTGCTCCTTCTGTATGATCTCAGTTGGAAAGCAAGAGAGGTCCTTTTTTTCCCTCCGGATCCATGAAGGTCAATGCTCTTTATTTTCTGTTGTTAAATCTTTTCCAATTGCTAAGCTCCCTTGCTAGTCATGGTTAAATGTAGGTGAGAAAATGTTGCCCTCTAGCGGGTCATGTGAACTATATTCTAATTAAAAGAAGATTTATATTCTCTGTCAGCATTTACCTTTGTTCGGGCACACTGTCGTCCTTTTAGCTAATTTAATAAATGTTTCTATGTGCTAGCTGAGGATGAAAAGTTCTGATTTGTAACATGCTCAATTTCTGCCATATATTAAAACATAATGAAATAGGATTAACACCCACCGTCTTATTCTAGCCTTTATATATTATTTATTATTCAAATGTACATAAGTCGCCCATCTTTTGTTCTTTTCATTTGCTACCCTCACGTATATTGGCCAAACTCCCAACCTACTCTCACTTGTTCTTCTTCATTATTATACATGCAAATGATAAATAAATCCTTTCTGAACTTATTCATTGCCAAATTACAATTAATATATAGTACAGCCCTTCTAAAAAATTTTTAATTCCTTTCCCACAGAGAAAGGGAAACACCCTGTGCAGCTGATAGTTGCAAAATAATTTCTTTTAAAAAAATCAGCACAGTGCATTAGATAATACAAAACATTTTTTCATCCTAAACTCATCAGATTAACAGGATCAGATCCTTGTGTTTTAAATATACCGTATACATATTGTATAGCATACTTTGTGAAATCAGTGAAAGAGTTGGATCAAAGTTTACCAGTGGATCCAAATCCGAAAGCATAAAACTGCTCTTTTAAATGGTCTGATGATATTAATTAACCTTTGTGTTGTTTCCCAAGAGCAACGCTTCTGTGATTTGTTCCAGTGCAAACATACAGCGGTGTTTAAGACTTTGATGTCATGTTTGCGTTATGTTTTAATCATCCACGGATTGTCTCGTTAAGTCCCATCAAATATTGCACAAAAATGTCCTAAATTTCACAAAATTATGATTATGCTGTAAACCGAGGTTCATTCTTAACTCTGATTCCAGCTGTACATAGGTTTTTAAAAATTAGAAAGCTGTGCTGTGAGAATTGCAAGCTATTTTTTCCAACAATTATTATTTCTGTTCCACAGGGAAGAAGAATAACATCACAGTAATAAAATGAAGACTTTCTTAAGACTTCACCCTAATGCTCTTGCCTATTCGATGACCACATTAGGCGCCGGAATGATGAACAGCATCTTCAATTTCTATTATGTTAAACTCTTTTTAAACAAGTACAAGATCTCAGAAACGGCATTCCATCAAGGGCAGGTAACAGCACTTACTATTCATGTAGTTATTTGCATTTTGTTTCCAAGTAGGTTGTGTTTTTACATCCAAAAGGAACAGCTTGTGATGAGACCTATTGTACAAAGGTAGCAGCCATACATTGTTGTCATTAGTAAAAAACCGACATTGTAACCCGAATGCTTTGCTGCTGGCTTGAAATTCAGCAGGAGACCTGGTGTTTGAGAGTGATTTTGGTATCCAGGTAGCCTGGAATTACCGCTATACGTCACGCCAGTCATTAAGTGGGTCATCACATCATCACGCCCGAACTTACTAGCTTTTTTGCAGCGTTCCTTAAATGAATGCTGCCGTCGTAAGTGTGAATTCATTGTTCACTATGGGCACATTTTTGCTGAAAACTAGAAGGGCTGGTTTCCGTCAAAACTGTTGGAAAACACACTCACGTGACCACGGGACACTGCAAATGCTTATAAATGCAGCTGTGTTGCCAAGGGCACAAAGTGCAGTCACATCTGGGGGGACGGGGCAATCACCAGAACTTTGGATTCAGATCAAAAGTCCCCTTTTTCAGGTAGGTTGTAAGTTTGTTAATTTATTACAGGGCTCTTCAAACTTGGCCCTTTTATGACTTGTGGACTTCAACTCCCAGAATTCCTCAGCCAGGCACGCGTGCCTGGCTGAGGAATCCTGGGAGTTAAAGTCCACAAGTCATAAAAGGGCCAAGTTTGAAGAGCCCTGGTTTATTATGAAACGTGTTTGCTGTCCGTCTTGTGTCGAACGACTCTGAGCAGCTTACAGCCTAAAAACGTTTTTTTAAAAAATTAAAATCATCAGATGCAAAATGACAAAGTAGATAAATGAAGTCTGAACGAGTCGTTAAGGCGAGGATTACCTGTATGGGGCATCCTTTGGATTTTGTGAATGTCCAGTCTTGCTTGCTGGGGAAAAGCTGACCGGTCCCTGTTTGCTCCTAGGTGGTTTTCATGATCTGGAATGCCGTCAATGACCCCCTCTTTGGGTACCTCCAGGACAACTCTCAAGTCCCCTGCTGCTCCCGCCGTCAATTTTCGATTTTGTACGGTGCTCCCTTGTACGCCCTGGCCTTCCTTCTCCCGTGGTTTCCGTGGAAACAATACGAGGAAGGCGACTGGCTCTGTGGGCTGCATCTGATTGTGGCCTTGTGCGCCTTCGACGGCCTGCTCACGTTCGTCTTGCTGGCGCAGTGCGCCCTTTTCGCCGAAATCTCCACCCGCCACGAGAGCCGCCTCCAGCTGATTAAGTACAGCCAGGTGGCCAGCTTGGTTGGGTCGACCAGCATCCTGTTCTGTGGCTTGATCTCTGCCAACATGGAGCGCTTTGCCTACTTCCAGGCCTTCGCGGTGCTGGTAGCGGTGATTGCGACGGCTTGCATGTCCTACACCGGCTTCTACAGCACGACTCAGTACGAGCAAAGGGAACCCCTGATGGAGGGGCCTGATCCAGAAAGCGCCAAGGTCCCCCCTCTCTCTTGGTCCTCGGTGTTCTCGTTGACCTGCCAGATCTTGACTCAGAAAAACTTCCTGTTTTTTGTCCTCATGAACTTTTTCCAAGTCTTCCACTTAGCCTTCTGCAGCAATTTCATGATGATCTTTGCAGATAATCTCATCCCCAACGGAGTCCTTTCTTCCTCCATCAGAAGCCTTATGTACGGGGCAGGTTTCATTTGTCCACAAGTAAGCAGAAAACTGTGTGTTCTTTTCCTCATTTTTTTTAAAATGTTTTGAGTCCTAACATATTTTAAGTTATACTTCTTGCTGGGAAAAAGTTAGGGAAGATCTTGGAGAAAAATATGATCCGGGATCAAAGATTGGGCACTGCTGATTTCAGCCAAAATTGCCTGACTTTTGCATACCGCGTATCTTGGTACTTAACTGTTTTGAAACACGTCAAATTTGGTACTCAACACATTTTGATGCGGACATTTTGTCCCAGTACTCATCATTTGTTTGGTATTCGACCCACAAACTAGAACTTGTCGATGTTGATTGCCTTGTGACTCACCACATTATTCCTTATGGGGAAAATTTGTGTGTTATTCATCGTACCTCCTGGAACCAATTCATGATGAGTACTGATTTAATTAATGGAAGGTTTTTTTCACTTGTTCCCAGCACAAAATGCGACTGGTTTGTACACATCTATAGCATATGTACACCAGTAAATAATTCTACATACTTGTTTTGAACACAGCCTGTGTCAAAATATAAGGAATAGTTTCCAAAAAGCATTTTTGTGGAAATTTTGTTTTCTGCTTTGATAAACTCCATCATGACGATAGGATTTGAGAGTTGCCCCTTCAGATACAGCACCACTGGCCTGTTTGCTTTCAACGTATGGTTTCTTTCCCTATTTTTAACTTTTTTAAAAAAAAAGTCTACATGCAATTCAACTACGATTTTAATATAGTTCTCTCTCTTTTTTTTATTCCTGTTGTATTTCAGTGCCTTGTGCTCATCAGTCAGCCCTTGTTGGTAAAATTTGGTTATTACAAGATTGTCTTATTTTCTTTCTACCTGGAAGGAATAGCTGCAATTCTCATGCTTGCTCTGGGTCGAGAATATTACTACTTACTGGCTATTTATCTCACGGTCAACATGTAAGTAAATATTTATCATCAATTTTTTTAGGGGCTGAAAAATACCGCCGGCAGTTGTAGGCTGCCAGAATGGGGGAGACCCAAAAGATATACTTGATGGTAATGGACAAACTTGACTTGTGCAGGCTAATTCACCAGATTATTTTGTTTCGTCAGGGTGATCGTTCAAGCATCCTTCAGTTTGTTTAATTTACCATTGGCCGATATTGTTGATGCAGATTTAAAGAAACATAAACGAAGGCGAGTACTGTGCCCCCACCTTTCAAATGAAGCAATGGGTATCATTGCCTTTCTGACTTAACACGTGGATATTAAAGGCTAAACTGTTTACATAATTATGTCCGGTAACCCTGGCCTGTTTCATATTTCAGATCTCCACTCTCGTCGATGGTCTTTGGAACCAATGCTCTCTTCACAAAACCAGCTCAGTCCTTAGCTCCTATGCTTGTGGTTTCGGTACTAAATCAATTTGGCTATGCAGATCTGAATAGTAAAGCCGTCGATCCTGATTCACCGTAAGTGGCCGGTTATTATTAAAGTCAACCCCGTGCATCTGCCTAAAAGAGTTCAGTTTTACAGGAAGTCGTCAATTGATGAGCACAGCTGGCACCAGAATTTCCATTGCTAAAGCAAGGGGGTTGTGAAGTTAGTCACACCCAATTTTACGACCCTTTTTTTGCTGCAGTTGTTAAGGGAATCACACAGTCATTAAGCGAATCTGGCTTCCCCTGTTGACTTTGCTTGTTGGAAACGGTCTGGGATGGCGGTCACGTGACCCTGGGACTCTGCTTGCCACTTGCCAAGCATCCAAATTTTGAACACGCAACTACGGGCGATGCTGTGACAGTCGTAAGAGCAAGGGCTGTTTATAAGTCACTTTTTTTCAGCGCCATTGTAAATGCAAGTGGTCTCTAAGTGAAGAACTGTTAAGTCAAGGCCTACCTGTGTGGTTTTTTTTACACACATAGTATGACTCTTGATTCACATCAGACCACCTGTTTGATGGAATGGATCGCAGTTCTGCGTGCAATGATCAACTAGAGTTGAAGGTGACAAATTTTTGGCTTTGCTGCAAAAGATGAACTGCCCTTAGGAAGAGGACTGTTTGGGATGGGTTGCCTGGGTAATCGATATGTAAAATCAATAGTGCAATTTCTGAATGGCTTAGAAAGCAGAGTTCTGAATGCAAGCAAAAGACAGTAAGATCATTCTGAAGAGTGAAAAATAAATCAGTACAGGATAGGCTGTAAGTGATACTTGGTCCTATAATCCCGGTGAAAAATTGTAAAATGTTTTCTCCTAGTCTCTACTTAGGCCTCCAAGATGCCATGTTCTACATGATCTGTCTGGTCCCTCTTTGCATTGCGGCGATACAGATCCTGACCTGGACCCCCTTTTCCATCCAGAATACTCATCTGACGCCGATACTCTGAACTGTAAATGGGGAGCCTTGCTGAACGGTGTTTAATTGACAGGTGTCAATGGGCAAGCAAGCACACTGGATTTTCCTAACTCTCTGAACCAGCCAATCAAATGCAGCCTGTGCCATTTTGTGATCATCTGTAGTTTTAAATCTTTACCATACTTTTATTGTGAAGTAGGAATCTTGTTTTTAGTTCCATTGATATACCAGGTAAATGGAGACAAATGAAACCTTGAAGGTAAACTGGATGCATACTCTTTAAGTTTTTATCCCACCTTAACACTCAAGGGATAAATAAAATGCCTCCTTTTAAGGCCAGAGAGAGAGAGAGAGAGAGAGAGAGAAATGAAAATAACCGCAGGATGGGGCATCTAAATACCATTCCACCATGAATGGTTGTTTGAAGCAGACAAGGAAATCTGGAGGGCTGCATAACTAGGTAAACTAAGCCTGACAATATCATAGAAGCTGCTGCTTTATAGAGAGAGCAGTACTGATATGTTTTATGTTCCAAAGGGCAGTGGTGATTTGCCACATCACAATGTAGTTTTGTCAGTAGTGGCCAAGTGGGAACTGTAGCAGCACCTGGTGGAAAAATTGACGTGAATGGCAGAAGTTTTTGTAGAAACCTGATGGAAAGGCTTAAAAGCAGAAGGAAAGCTTGCTTTCTCAAAACTTTTTCTCAAGCTGTCAAACTTAAAATTGAGTTTCCAGAGTCATAGGAAAAATATCTGTTGGGAAAATAGGCCTGGGGTTTCTTAAATGCCACGCCAATAATCGTTGTGTTTACTTATATCATCAGATTTCTGTATTTGTATTTGATTTTTTTTCCTGCCTTATTTTAAAATGGGATTTGGGATTTCTTTTTATACAAGTCTTCCATTTTTACTTTTTCAATAGTATTTGTAATGAACGGAAAACAAATTTTGCTTGATAGGGTGAAGTCTGAATTACGCCAGAATAAATTGTACCATCCTTTGCCCAATGGATTATCGTGTTACTTATTCTTGTAATGTATATATGCAAGCCAACTCTTTTTTTTTCTTTTCATTCTTATTACAATATTAGAGGAAGGAATTTCTTAGAAAAACTAAGTTGGGCTTTAGCTTTTTTTTTCTTATGTTGAACTAGTTCTGGTCTATCAAATTCTTTGGCTGTTCCAGGCCAGTGGCTTTCCCTCTCCTTTTAATACATTATCCTAAAAGTTTTTAATCTAGTAAACCCTTAATGCCTTTTATTATGAATTAACCTACAGTATAATGGTTCTAAATGGATTGCATTTTTAAATTCTTAATTACTTGCTGCTGTTGGATATATTATAGGAAATTTAATGCAACTGGCTTTTATAGGTGATATTTTTGATGGAGTGTAAGTTGTATAAACACTGTTCTTCTTTCCTGCTTGCTTGGTAAACTGGAAGAACTGGTAACAGAACAGGCTTAAAATGAGGAATACTGCTTAAGAATTGGAAACACCCATATTTGTTTAAAACACTTCCTCCAAACATTATTGTTATAAATTATAGCATTTTTCAGTACAGCTCAACTGAGCGAACAAGGCTAAGATACAATTTGCCATATGTAATAACATTATAATGCTTTTTTCCCTCAGTTATCTGCCAGAACAGTTGCTGATGCCAATGGCTTTTATTTATTTATTGCAACACAAATCATCCTAAAACTATGTTGGCAGAATAAGACAGATCCTAATCAATAGTATATATTGCCCTGGAGTTTGTGCTTTCATAATACAGGCTCAATCCCTGTTTGGCATAATTATCCAGCTCTTTTACGGTTAGGAGTTATGCCAATTCAGCAGTAGGTAACTTTTTTAAAAAATAAACTCATTTCCCAGTTAAATTTTTGAATGAGTTTGCAACGGAGAGTAGGGAAAAGTTCGATGTTTTGTAGGTTTTTTAATTTAATTTAATCCATATCATTCTCTTCAGCTTCTTGTGGAATGACGCGGAAACTCACTATCGTCCATTAAGTTTTTCCATTTAAAATAAGAGGCTTTTTTTTTTCTTGCAGAGCCTAAAGATTTTGTGTGTGTGTGTGCTACGGGTTGCAAGTAATTTCCAGGTGCTTAAAGTTATTGTTCTGTAAAAGTGGTTTTTATTTTTAAACGTGGAGCACTAAAATGAACAGTTAGGAAAAAAGTCTCTCAAACAGGTAACAATAGTTCAGCTTCCTTACGAGCCATCACAGCTGTTCCCATCCATGCAAGCACAGCGAGGCTTCCTTTGAGGCGACTTTCTTTTGGAAAAAATAAATATTCTTTCCCATTTTTTTCTATTGAATACGAAGAAGTCTTTTCCACCAGATGCCCAAGTGGGCTGTTTTGGCGGCGAAAGATCAAGTCGTTTATCTCATTTAAAACTGTGGTTCTGCCGGTGGAACCTCCTCTTGTAGGCGCAGTCTATCTGATGAACTCTTAGTTGCATATATTTTGGTGGTTTCTTCCCTGGCGTGACAAGGACGGGCTTGTTAAGAGGAAAGAGAGGCTGGAAAAACATGAGAATTATTGTTTTGTGTTGTTTTTTTTTAATATTTGAGGTCCCGGGGCATGTGAAAGGGAACCTCCCCGTGCAAGTCAAGTCTACCTTCGGAAACGAGGCTTTGGAAAGGCTCGTTTTAAACAACGGGACTTCCCCGTCTGGGGGGGGAGGGGTGTTTCGCTTTACGACCACCCCGCAGGACGTCCGAGCGGGGGGGGCGTGAAAACGGGGGGAAGGAGGGAGGGAAAGAAAGGAAGGGGACGCGTCCGGACGTGCGCGCGCCACGAGGGGGTGGTGGCACGCCCCCTCGACGCGCGCCCCCGCGCAAGGGCATTGTGCGACGGGCGGCGCTGCTCGGGCCGCTCCTGGATTGGAGGAGCGGGCGGAAGGGGCGCGCGCGAGTGCGCAGGCGCGCGCGCCGACGGCTTGGCGGAAGGCGCGCCGTGTCTGCGCGTGCGCGCGTGCGCGAGAAAGAGAGAGAGAGAGAGCGACCGAACGGGCGGACGGGCGCGTGCGTGTCCCTGGCCATCCTGTCCGGCCGGGCCCCCCTTCCGCGGGCCTCGGGTTCCGGCCTCGGCTGCGCTCCGGCGAGGGCGCTAAATGGGGAGCTCCGCGCTGGTTCTGGCCGCCTTCGCCGCCGCCTCCGCCGCCGCCGCCATGGAGCAAGGAGGCGGTGGTTGCGGGAGGGGGTGATCGGTCGCCCCTTTCTTCCGTCTCCCGCGCGGCCCCCTTCCCCCCCGCCCCCCCCATGAGACTCTGCCTGGCCTGGCTGGGCTGCCTCGCCGTCTCGCTGTGGCTGCTGAGGAGGAGGATGTGGTCTGGCCCCGCGCGCTACCTCCGGAGCCCTTTATCCCGCTCTCTCTACGCGAACATGATGAGCGGCCCCGGGCAGGCGGCGCCGGGCGACAAGGAGAACCAGCAGGTAGGGGCCCCGCCGCCCCTCCCCCCTTCCCCCCCCACGAGGGAAAGCGGGGGGGGGGTCGGTCTGAGGAGAGAGCCTCTGGGGGGGCTACCCAAGGCAGACGCCCCCTCCGCCGCCTCCCCTTTGTGGTCTTCATATGCCCCCTCCCTCCAAGAGGGGAGGGGGGGCTTCAGGACTTCCAGCTATATTTTATAGTGAATTTCTAAGGTTCTGGGACGGATTAGGAGAGGGTGGGGGGAGGCCCCTTGCGACTCGAAGGCCCCTCCCTCCCCAAGGAGTTCCTGGCGCTGCCCATCGAGGGGGGACACCCCCAACCTGGGCTGTCAAGCCGGGTCTGGCCCCCCCGATGCTGTCTCCTCCCCCCCTTTGCTTGGACACCCAAGCAAAGTCCCCCCCCCCCAGGTCTAAGAGGGAAGACCCAGAGCCAGAGATTTGAAAATGAATCGAAGGAAGGAAGGAAGGAAGGGGAAAGAGGGAGGAAGAAGGAAGGAGGGAGGGAGGGAGAGAAGGAAGGAAAGGGAAAGAGGGAGGAAGAAGGAAGGAGGGAGGGAGGGAGAGAAGGAAGGAAGGGGAAAGAGGGAGGAAGGGAGGAAGGGAGGAAGGGAGAAGGAAGGGAGGAAAGAGAAAGGGAGGGAGGGAGAGAAGGAAGGAAGGGGAAAGAGGGAGGAAGAAGGAAAGAAGGAGAAAGGGAGAAGGAAGGGAGGAAAGAGAAAGGGAGGGAGGGAGAGAAGGGAGGAAGGAAGGAAAGAAGGAGAAAGGGAAAAGGAAGGGAGGAAAGAGAAAGGGAGGGAGGGAGGGGAAAGAAAGGGGCATAATCTGTGTTTCTTCTTCTGCTTTCCTTCTTGGAGTACAAGGTAGGAAGGTGTCCCAAAGGTGCTTTTTCAAAAGGCAGCAGGTTTTTGTCTTTGAAAATGTTTCACTTCTCATCCAAGAAGCTGCTTCAAAGGGGGGGAAAAACCCCCAAGAAAGTCCAGTTGCCTTTTGGAAAAAAAGCACCTTTGGGACAACCCTGACCTGGATGATGGAGAATCTCCACAGACAAGGCAGGAAGGTGAAAAGTTGCCAGGGTCAAGGACAGGATGGGATAGGGCAGGTGATCCTGGGAGTCCCACCACCTGTCCTCTCCTTTCTCCCCTCCAAAGTACTAAGAGCAGAGCCTGGGAAATGGGCGTGCAGAGAGCAACAATAGCAGCACATAATCCGAACTGGAAAAGAATAGATCGAATGACACATCTTTATAGGCTCCGCGACCGAAGGGTGAGAAGCAACTAGGACAATATGGGAAGCCCTCCTCATCCCAGTTTTGTGGGTCTGGAGCAGGAAAGACAAGTGCTGGTGAAGTCCCTTAAGACTTTAAAAAAAGCCCTGCTTTTCAATTCTCTAATAATTCAGGAACTGGAAGTATTTTTTTTTTTTATTTTTTTTGCCATGTAAATTCCCCTGTGGTTTGATCACGTCCTGGCACAGCCTCATTTTTTCCTGTTTGTGCAGAGCAGTAGTGGTGCCCCTGCTGTGGATGGATAATGGGGATGGTGTAAATTAGAAGGAAATTAATTTGCATTTCCCCCAAATTTTAGTTTGCAAGATCTTGACTTGTGAAAATGTCCACAGGGATCTTTTTTGTCCTTCCTCTGAAAGTAGTTTGTCCAACTTAGCGTACTCTGGACTACAACTCCCAGCATTCTGAGCCAGTGTAGTATTTGACTGCCAGTGCTTTTACTTTCTGTACATCATTAATACCTCCTACTCGCCCATGTTTGTACTGTTGTTTTCTTGTTCTCTCTCACACATTCTTCATAATCACCCTGTTCGCCTTTTTCATTGTTTTTCTCTCTAAAATTATTTCCTTTTAGTTAGATCAGGTGTCCAACCTTGGCAGCTTTAAGACTTATGGACTCCAACTGGGGAATTCTGGGAGTTGAAGTCCACAAGTCTTTTTCTGATTCAGTATCCCTGGTCTGGTCCATCTTTTTCTACTTCCTTGTTTTTTTCTCTGTAAGTATTCTACATTCAAATATTATGGGAGCTGTATCTGCAAACATCTGGACAGCTTCGATCTTACATATATTATTTATACGCCTGACACTTAGTAGTAACTTAATAAGTGTAAATGTTTTCAGATCTTGAACCAGGGCCAACATCTGCTAGAAAGCGGGAACTTTAAAAGAAACATGATTTATAGATATTCCACTTGTGCCAGGTAGAGTTAGATATAAATATTATCTTAAATATCTTGGTATTAGGGGGCCTGGGTGGTCAAAAGGCAAGGGGGAGCCGAGAAAGGACATCTGTTCTATTATGGATTTGTAAAATGGGTTTCTAAAATGGAATCCACCTTTAGTTTGTTTCACTGAATTAGAGTTGTTATCCTTCGGGGTTGTGATTCTATCTGGCATACTATACTTAATAGAATTTACTGGGTCAGTATGCAAATAGCTGTAATAAGTACCATACATAATAGGTTAAATTGTTAACAAACTACAAGTTTTCCTTGTTAGTTCAGCAGGAAAAGCTTCTCGTGAACGTCTGACTGCATGCTCAATCAATATTCCCACTTGCCTTCTGGTTGCCAATGTTTGAAATCCTGTGCTAATTCATCAAAGGAGTGAAAGGATCCTTAAAAGACTTTTTGATGACCGACTTGGATTTAATATGTATTACCGCAATGTGCAGATTGATCCCAAAAAGGAATTGTGAAGTTTTCATTGTTCTAAAGCCAAATAATCAAACAATGAGTTCCCTCTGGAGAATGAAAGATTTAACTAGATCCATGCAGGGTTTATTGGCAACAATATATATAGTCATTCACCATTCTTTTCTCTTTTTTCCTGGAATTTTTACTTCTAAATCTAGTCTACAGCCTTGGGATATGTTCGCGGTCTTCCATCTAAGTCTTAATCAGGCCTGACAGGATCGACCAAGTCCTGCCAGCTGCGGAAATATTTACCTAATGTGAAGCTTCAACTGCTGTCCTCAACTTACAACAGTCTATTTAGTGACTGCTCGAAGTTACAATAGCACTGAAAACAGTGACTTAGCATCGTTTTTCACACTTAACGACCGTCGGTCATGTGATCAAAATCCAGCCGTTTGGCAACTGACTCACACTTAATGACGGTTGCAGCGTCCCGGGGTCGTGTGATCCCCTTTTGCGACGTTCTGACAAGCAAAGTCAATGGGGGAGGTAGATTCACGTAATAACCACGTTACTTAACAACTGCAGTGATTCAAGTCAATGGGGGAGCCAGATTCATTTAACAACCATGTTACNAGGAAGGGAGGGGAGAGAAGGAAGGAAGGGGAAAGAGGGAGGAAGAAGGAAAGAAGGAGAAAGGGAGGGAGGGAGAGAAGGGAGGAAGGAAGGAAGGAGAAAGGGAAAAGGAAGGGAGGAAAGAGAAAGGGAGGGAGGGGAAAGGAAGGGGCATAATCTGTGTTGGGGTATTTCTTCTTCTGCTTTCCTTCTTGGAGTACAAGGTAGGAAGGTGTCCCAAAGGTGCTTTTTCAAAAGGCGGCAGGACTTGTTTTTTTCTTTGAAAATGTTTCACTTCTCATCCAAGAAGCTGCTTCAAAGGGGAGGGAAAAAACCCCAAGAAAGTCTAGTTGCCTTTTGGGGAAAAAAGCACCTTTGGGACAACCCTGACCTGGATGATGGAGAATCTCCACAGACAAGGCAGGAAGGTGAAAAGTTGCCAGGGTCAAGGACAGGATGGGACAGGGCAGGTGATCCTGGGAGTCCCACCACCTGTCCTCTCCTTTCTCCCCTCCAAAGTACTAAGAGCAGAGCCTGGGAAATGGGCGTGCAGAGAGCAACAATAGCAGCACATAATCCGAACTGGAAAAGAATAGATCGAATGACACATCTTTATAGGCTCCACAACCGAAGGGTGAGAAGCAACTAGGACAATGTGGGACATTTTCTCAGCCCTCCTCATCCCAGTTTTGTGGGTCTGGAGCAGGAAAGACAAGTGCTGGTGAAGTCCCCTAAGACTTTAAAAAAAGCCCTGCTTTTCAATTCTCTAATAATTCAGGAACTGGAAGTATTTTTTTTTTTATTTTTTTTGCCATGTAAATTCCCCTGTGGTTTGATCACGTCCTGGCACAGCCTCATTTTTTCCTGTTTGTGCAGAGCAGTAGTGGTGCCCCTGCTGTGGATGGATAATGGGGATGGTGTAAATTAGAAGGAAATTAATTTGCATTTCCCCCAAATTTTAGTTTGCAAGATCTTGACTTGTGAAAATGTCCACAGGGATCTTTTTTGTCCTCCCTCTGAAAGCAGTTTGTCCAACTTAGCGTACTCTGGACTACAACTCCCAGCATTCTGAGCCAGTGTAGTATTTGACTGCCAGTGCTTTTACTTTCTATACATCATTAATACCTCCTACTCACCCATGTTTGTACTGTTGTTTTCTTGTTCTCTCTCACACATTCTTCATAATCACCCTGTTCGCCTTTTTCATTGTTTTTCTCTCTAAAATTCTTTCCTTTTAGTTAGATCAGGGTGTCCAGCCTTGGCAGCTTTAAGACTTATGGACTCCAACTGGGGAATTCTGGGAGTTGAAGTCCACAAGTCTTTTTCTGATTCAGTATCCCTGGTCTGGTCCATCTTTTTCTACTTCCTTGTTTTTTTCTCTGTAAGTATTCTACATTCAAATATTATGGGAGCTGTATCTGCAAACATCTGGACAGCTTCGATCTTACATATATTATTTATACGCCTGACACTTAGTAGTAACTTAATAAGTGTAAATGTTTTCAGATCTTGAACCAGGGCCAACATCTGCTAGAAAGCGGGAACTTTAAAAGAAACATGATTTATAGGTATTCCACTTGTGCCAGGTAGAGTTAGATATAAATATTATCGGACATATCTTGGTATTAGGGGGCCTGGGTGGTCAAAAGGCAAGGGGGAGCTGAGAAAGGACATCTGTTCTATTATGGATTTGTAAAATGGGTTTCTAAAATGGAATCCACCTTTAGTTTGTTTCACTGAATTAGAGTTGTTATCCTTCGGGGTTGTGATTCTATCTGGCATACTATACTTAATAGAATTTACTGGGTCAGTATGCAAATAGCTGTAATAAGTACCATACATAATAGGTTAAATTGTTAACAAACTACAAGTTTTCCTTGTTAGTTCACCAGGAAAAGCTTCTCGTGAACGTCTGACTGCATGCTCAATCAATATTCCCACTTGCCTTCTGGTTGCCAATGTTTGAAATCCTGTGCTAATTCATCAAAGGAGTGAAAGGATCCTTAAAAGACTTTTTGATGACCGACTTGGATTTAATATGTATTACCGCAATGTGCAGATTGATCCCAAAAAGGAATTGTGAAGTTTTCACTGTTCTAAAGCCAAATAATCAAACAATGAGTTCCCTCTGGAGAATGAAAGATTTAACTAGATCCATGCAGGGTTTATTGGCAACAATATATATAGTCATTCACCATTCTTTTCTCTTTTTTCCTGGAATTTTTACTTCTAAATCTAGTCTACAGCCTTGGGATATGTTCGCGGTCTTCCATCTAAGTCTTAATCAGGCCTGACAGGATCGACCAAGTCCTGCCAGCTGCGGAAATATTTACCTAATGTGAAGCTTCAACTGCTGTCCTCAACTTACAACAGTCTATTTAGTGACTGCTCGAAGTTACAATAGCACCGAAAACAGTGACTTAGCATTGTTTTTCACACTTAACGACCGTCGGTCACGTGATCAAAATCCAGCCGTTTGGCAACTGACTCACACTTAATGACGGTTGCAGCGTCCCGGGGTCGTGTGATCCCCTTTTGCGACGTTCTGACAAGCAAAGTCAATGGGGGAGGTAGATTCACGTAATAACCACGTTACTTAACAACTGCAGTGATTCAAGTCAATGGGGGAGCCAGATTCATTTAACAACCATGTTACTAACTTAACTGCAGTGATCCACTTAACAACCGTGACAAGAATTGTCATAAAAAGTGGCAAAATTCACTTAACAAGTGTCTTGCTTGGCAATAGAAATTTTGGGCTAATCAGTTGTGATCATAAGCCGAGGACTGCCTATATATCAAGTTCTTTGTGTGCCTAATATTCAGGCTTTTCTGTTCATTCTAAATTCATTTATTGTAAAATAATGACATCCTGCACACCGAGTCAGGCTGGCGTGTCAGACTCCCGATCACAATATTAACATCTTACGCAGCCTTGTCCCTTCCATCAAATTATCCAGGTGATCATTGAAAGCTATAATTTCTTCCATTATAAACCTGGGGGGGGGGGGAGTAAAACAAAAAAAAACGCTGCCCTAGAAGACAATGGGATTGAAACTTTGGATGTTTGCCTGCATTGTGCCTTTTTTCAACCGGTGATGGCAATTCCGCCTTTCCCTGCTAAATTTTGTAGGGCTGGGATCCTTTATATAAAGCAAAGCTTGTCTGGTAATCAATCCCTCCCACCCTTTTCAAGAAAAGCACAGAAGACTTACAAGCTTTTATAGAAGATAATTAGAACAGCAGGAAGCCCTACAGTCAGAGATTAATACATTTCCTGACAAGAACAGGAAGAGCCGTAAAATGGCCCGGCTGACGTTTTTCTTAAGATTGCTTGAAACAGCCTGATTCTGGTAGCCCCATCTAGGTCAGAAGGGGGGGGGGAGAACATCCCATCAGGAGTGATCAGTTGTGGGCCAGCTGTTGACTCTAGGTTTGGCCACAGCCAAAAGATAATGAAACGCACGAAGGGACTGTAATTCCTAATGTGAATTCAAAATAATAAATCAAATTTTAAGACGCATCCTGTCCCCGGTCCCCACTGGTTTTTGGAACAGGAATATTTGCTTGTCCGAAGGTCGCAAAAGGAGATCACGTGACCCTCCCCGGGACACTCCCCGTGACCCTCCCCGGGACACTGCAACCGTCATAAATGTGAGTCAGTTGCCAAGTGTCTGAAGCTTGATCACGTGACCACACCCAGTCGCAAGTGTGAAAAATGGTCGTAAGTCGGTTTTTTCAGTGCTGTTCTAACTTTGAACAGTCCCGAAACGAACTATTATAAGTTGAGGACTACTTATATAATCTAATCAACAGACAAAACCTTTATTGTATACCTTGATGCAGGTCTGGCTGATTTCACTGTGAATGCAAGCTGCAAACTCTTGTTTGAAGTAGATTCCTAAACAATAGTAAGGACAATGGCCATTTTTGCCTATTAAATTATCAACTAAAGTTCAAAAGAGATTTCCTGGCCTGGCCTTAGTCTTTGTCCCTATAGCCTAGTATTCTTGCCTACTCTTGACTAGCAGCTCACCTCAACATCTTAGACACAGGAACACATGATTTATTTTTATTCATTTGTTAAATTTATTTGCCGCCTATCTCGCCCCGGGGCTATCAATCCATTGTCAGTGCTGGCTGGATTTTCAACATTGATCTTTGACGGCTGGTTGAGATGTTGAGAACCGAATTGAATTGGAACTGGGTGCCTTATCCCTAAGCTATAGGGTTCCCCGCTCTCTGCCCACCGACCCTTTTTGATGGACGGCTGGGGAATTCTGGGAGTTGAAGTCCACACACTTCTTAAATATGGCTAAGACTGAGAAACACCACTGTAGATATCTGAAGGTTGTTTCATGGCATCTGGACTCATTTTTGTAGAAGTTTCGCTGCTCATCCAAGCAGTTTCGTCAGTCGTAGGCAGCAAGTCGCTGGAAGGTACCAACTCCTCTACCACAACCAGCTCAGGGGTTTCCTCCAACTCTGTAGATGGTAAACTCTTGTAGATGGTAAATGCTGGGCTTTTCTGCCTGCAAAGCCTATGCTTGCCATTGTATTGCGATTCTTTATATATTCAAAATTTTGTAGCCGGCAAAGAGTTAAAGGGACACTAGTATAGCTATTTCGAGCTATTTAGCTCTCATCAGCTAGCCATCAGCTAGCTCGAAATAGCTATACTAGTCTCCCTTTAACTCTTTTGTCGGCTACAAAATTTTGAATTTACAGTTGTCGCAGTAGTGACGTCTGCCTGCCAAAAAATGCTCTTTTATAGGATTAGGAATAGGGTTAGGGTCGGGGTTAGGGTTAGGATTTTTTAAAATAACATTCTTAATATTTAGCAAACCGCATGTTGTCTGGGTTCATGTATTTAAAAAACAATGAATAATAATGAATTATCATAAACAATACATTAATGAATCGCTCAGTGGTCTTCTTACTACTATATATTCAGTGTCACATATCACGTTCCTTTCTCTCTCACTCGTATTTTCTAGCCGTTGATAAAAATTATCCTGTGTTTCTAAAATAACGCTGAGTCTTCTCTCTCTTTGGTCTTTGCATTGCGATCCATGTTCCATCTGATGATGCTCCTTCTGGTTTGGCAGAGCTGAAATAATCAAGTCTTATCTCTTCCTCCTTCTAGTGGTATCTGTGCAATACGGAACAGTTGTATGAAGCCCTTCAGCCTGTCTTTATCCAGAGTTACCTGGACCAAGGGACGCGGATCTTTTTAAACAATAGTATTGAGAAATCTGGCTGGTTATTCATTCAACTTTATCACTCCTTTGTATCCTCCGTTTTTAGCCTGTTCATGTCCAGGACGTCTATCAATGGGTGAGTGTAAGATATTGGCCTCTTTGGGTTTGATTTTTTTTTAAAAAAATAACAATCCGATTTTGCATATATTCAGTTACTACCGGTAGTAGACTAGCTAGGAATGGCATCCTCCAAAAACAATGGGGAAAAAGCCTTCCGTTGCAGGTAGTCCTCGACTTAACGACCACAATTTTAGCCCCAAATTTCCCTTGCTAAGCCAGACAGGTATTAAGTGACCTTTGCTCCGTTTTACGGCCTTTCTGGCCACCGTTGTTAACCGGATCGCTGCCCTTGTTCAGTTAGCGACAGGGCTAAGCGTTCCCCTTTGACTTTGCTGGTCAGAAAGTTGCAAAAGAGGATCGCAGGACCCCAGGACACTGCGCCCATCCTAAGAGAGAGAATTTTGATCATTGCACCCATCCTAAACCAGAGACGGAATTTTGATCCCTTGACCAAGGGGACGTTCCGGCGGTCGTTAAGTGTGAAAGTCGGTCCTCAAGTCACTTTTTTTCAGGGCCGTTGTAACTTTGAGCGGTCACTAGAGAATGGTTGCAACTTGAAGGGTACCTGTACACGTTTGGATGACTCCTGTGCCCCTTCGAATTAACAACAAAATAATAATTTCTGAAAGAAAATGGGCATTTTTTTACGGGGAGGTCTGTTTATTTATCGTTTGGCCTTTGGGCGCTGTGTCCAGCCAAGCTTGAAAAGTTTACCGGCCCTGGATATAAACGTGGGGATACTTGTGGGCTCAATTTCGGTCGTAAGTCGAGGACCAGGTGTGTAACTTTGTTAGAGATGAATCAATGTCTTAAGTCTCGAGAAGGCCTGTTCTAGTTTCTGGGTAACGATAAGTCCCCTTCGCGTCCCCCAGCCTCCCGTTTGCCCCCTTCCAAAATAAACTCACCTCTCCCCATCTTTGACCTTTCAGCTTGCTGGAAAGAGGTTCCATGTTTGTGTTTTCACCTGAACAATTTCAGAGACTGCTCAAAATCAACCCAGACTGGAAGTCGCGTCGGCTTCTCGATTTAGGAGCCGGAGATGGTGAAGTCACCAAAGTCATGAGTCCCCACTTTGAAGAAACGTACGTGACCGAGTTGTCTGAGACCATGATTTGGCAGCTTCAAAAGAAGAAATACAGGTAATGATCCCAACTCAACAGAGTCACTCCAAAACAAATATTTAGCAATTCTTCGTTCTACTCTCAAGAAAATGAAGGGGGGGGATCCAAGGAGACAGTTCCCTTGTTCCTTGCCCTACCTAGCCCTCAAAGCAATAAACAGAAAGAGGCAGGATTTTGCAGTTAAAGTTAAAAAAAAAACCTCCCCTTCCAAATTTCTAGGGCTTCAACTCTAGGCTTGCTGGCTGAGTAATTCTAGGAGCTGAACTCCAGATATCTTAAAAGTTGCGGAGGTTGAAAAGCACTGCTCTGTCCACCCTGGCTTCCACATCTGGGCCTTTCCTCCACATCTGGGCCTCTCCGTCATAGCCTCCACACCTGAGCCTCTCTGTCACAGCCTCCACATCTGGGCTTTCCCCCCTGGCCTCCACACCTGAGCCTCTCTGTCACAGCCTCCACATCTGGGCCTCTCCACCGTGGCCTCCATATCTGGGCCTTTCCACCCAGGCCTCCACATCTGGACCTCTCCATCACAGCTGCCACATCTGAGCCTCTCTGTCACAGCCTCCACATCTGGGCCTCTCCACCCTGGCCTCCACATCTGGCCCTCTCTGTCACAGCCTCCACATCTGGGCCTCTCCACCCTGGCCTCCACATCTGGCCCTCTCTATCACAGCCTCCACATCTGGGCCTCTCCACCCTGGCCTCCACATCTGGCCCTCTCTATCACAGCCTCCACATCTGGCCCTCTCCACATCTGGGCTGGTCTGTCTCTTCTCCCACTAACCGAGCTCCTTTGCCGGCTTCTCTTGTTTCTGTCTTCAATTTAAGCTTTAATCTGGCCAATAGCTAAGAAGAACCATTTGATCAGGGAGGACCGTGGCCTTCTCTCCGAGCCCGTTGAACGTCAGGCCTTCCCACCAGCAAGGCCAACGGAGAAAGCTATTCGGAGTTGTTGTGACTCTCTTGCTTCCTCTTCGGGTTGAGTGAGAAGTGAAGAATCCACACTCCACCAGGTATAACCCTGTGTCTTTCTCTCTCTCCCCCCCCCCCCCTTGGCAGGGTGCTTGGCATCAATGAATGGCAGAATACGGGATTCCAGTATGACGTCATCAGTTGCTTGAACTTGCTGGATCGCTGCGACCAGCCACTGACGGTCTTAAAAGATATCAGGAGCGTGCTGGAACCGACGAGAGGCCGAGTCATCCTGGCACTAGTTTTGCCTTTTCATCCCTATGTGGAAAATGGTAAGATCTCCCAGATACAGGTAGTCCTTGACTTAACAGCCGTTCATTTAGTGACTGTTCGAAGTTAGAACAACACTCAAAACACCTGACTTAACGACCGTTTTTCACACGATCGGTGCAGCGCCCCCAGAATTCAGATGGCTCGGCAACTGGCACGTACTTATGACTGTTGCAGTGGGAATTTTGGGCTCAGTTGTGGTCATCAGTCGAGGGTTTCCTGTAGCCAAATGTAGTTCGGATACAGAAAGGAAGGTGTTCTGGTTATATCACTGTAAGAGAAGAGCAGGCAAAGCTGGAAATCTGAGTTAAACGTGCCACCAATTTGGAGTCATTGCGTTGCCACCAGAGACCCAAGTCCAGCCCCCTCTTATAATAATAATAATAATAATAATAATAATAATAATAATAATAATAATAGTAATAATCCACATCTGCCTATCCCAGGTCCTGAGTAAGGATAAGTAGACAAAATGCCAAATCCAGTCTGAACATCTGGCTGACTGTGCGATGATCCATAATAATAATAATAATAATAATAATAATAATATAATGTAATAATAATAAAGTTGGAAGGGACTTTGGAGGTCATCTAGTCCAACCCCCTGCTCAGGCAGGAAACCCTATACCATTTCGGACAAATGGCTGTCCAGGCTCTTCTTAAAAACTTCCAGTGTTGGAGCATTCACTGCTTCTGGAGGCAGGTTGTTCCACTGGCTAATTGTTCTCACTGTCAGGAAGTTTCTCCTTAGTTCCAGGTTGCTTCTCTCCTTGATTAGTTTCCATCCGTTGCTTCTTGAAGTCTGTCAGCTTTTATCTAGCACCAATTTAGTGCTGGCTGTTAGCCGATTAGATTCCCATGTATAGATTGCGACAATAATTTACCTGTGGTTCGAACCCGTGGCATGATCCTGGTTATTTGAACCCGGCAATCGTCTCCGATGGACCCCTTGGTGTCTCTCCTTGCAATCCCATAGTTATACAGTGCCCATTTCTGTTTTAATTCTGCTCACGGTCTCCGGTCTGTGTTCGCCACCCACCTTGTAAACGGCAACTAACGAAAGCTTTGACCGTTAGTTGACCCATTTCTTGTCTGTAGGTTGCAACGATAAATCACTTCTGCTTTAAACCTATCGCATGATCCTGGTTATTTGCGCCCGGCAATCATGCCTGATGGACCCCTTGGTGCAGTGATGGCGAACCTTTTAGAGACCGAGTGCCCAAACTGCAACCCAAAACCCACTTATGTATCGCCGGGTGCCGGGTGGGTGTGGCCCATTGGCTAGGTGTGGCTAATTGGCTGGGTGTGGCCCATTGGGTGGGCATGGCTGTGGTGGTCACGGCAGACTGGGTGGGACTAAAAAGTTCAATCAATCAATTCCAACTTTGCAAGATCTTTTTTTCCCCACGAGAAGTTGAAATTGACTGATTGATTGAACCTTTTTTTTTTTTTTTGCACATGGCGGAGGCCTAAAGCGAAAAGGTTTTATAAAACCCAGCTGAAGGCCTAGGACTGGGGCGACGGCGCGCGTGCCCACAGAGAGGGCTCTGAGTGCCGCCCCTGGCACCCGTGCCATAGGTTCGCCACCACTGCCTTGGTGTCTTTCCTTGCAATCCCAGACTCACACAATGTCCGTTTCTGTTTTAATCCCGCTCGCAGCGTCCACCCTCCCTCTTGTAAACAGCAACTAACGAAAGCCTCTCTTCTCTCAGTAGGTGGCAAGTGGGATAAACCCTCCGAAATTTTGGACATCAAAGGACAGACGTGGGAGGAGCAGGTGAACAGCTTGCCGGAGGTTCTCAAGAAAGCCGGCTTCGCCATCGAAGCCTTCACCAGACTACCCTACTTGTGTGAAGGCGACATGTACAACGACTATTACGTCCTGGACGACGCGGTCTTCATCCTCAGACCCATCTGAATCGGGTCCCGGGGTGTCCGGCCGGAAGCCACCAGCAAACGGAAACGTTTCGATTCTTCGTCTGGGTTTGGGTTCTTGTTGATTTGGGTGGTTTTCGTTTTGAATTTATGATCCCTTCCCGGCGGAGGAAGGGGTTTTTTTTGTGGTTGTCTAATCTCCGTGGACTTCTTGAACTGAAAATGGAAAAAAAAAAAATACTAATTTCTTCGGAACACCCTCCTTTCCTTCCTTCCTTTCTTCCCTCCTTTTTTTCTTTCTTTCTTTCTTTTTTTTTTTAAAAAAGGACTTCTTTTGTAAAAGATCAGAGTTCTCTCCCATTTAAGGTTTCTTAAAAACCCAGGACGTGTCTGATTGAAATGGAAATATTTTTATACCTAGCCGTTTCAGGACTACCGGTCGCGTAGTTGCCAAGAAATAACTCCAGCCCAGCCGGGGGTTTTTTTTTTCCCCTCAAGGACGCAAAAAGCGAGCGCCGTCTTATCCGCTCAACGTGAAATCTGGGCTGGTCAAAAGTCGGGCTAGACTGTTTTTTATTTTGGTTTTTGTTTTTTCTTTCTTTCTTCCGTGTTCCTGAAATGATTTGATCTGTTGGTCTTCAGCACATGTTTTTAATCACGCTAATAAAACTTTTTTTTCGAGGTGGTGCTTGTAGAAAAGCTTCCTTTAGCTGAAGGGGGGGGGGTCTCAGTTACACATTTGGAGATGAAGAGGGGGGGAGATGGACAGACAGATGGACACGCAAA